CAGTAAGGGAGATTTATGATGTGACCAAAAAAAAGGGAGTTTTATGATAAAAAAAAAAATACGCCATAACTTTACAAGCTTTAAAGACATTTTGGTCAGTTTATTTTTCATAAAAAAAAAAAATTTCAACACACAATATACGAATTTGAATCCGGATGCCACTAATACATACTAGTAAGCTACATGTCCTAGTACTTTTCTTACATACTTGTTTATGTCATTTACCATCGAAGTAATAAGGTTTGACTCTTTGCTATGAATAAGGGATTTGTACCATTTGATGAATCTTTATCTTCGAACCAATCCTATGACTTGCTGCTTTTGAAGTAAAAAAAGAACTTTCTTGGTTTATTCTTTGGTCCGCTGATCCTTCCTTTTAAATATTTTGTTCGTACCCAATCCTATTTAAGAGTCGGATCAGTCCAAATGTCCAATGGATATGAGATCTTTATTTTTTTTTTATTTGCGCAGAAAAAAAATAAAATGTAATTATATCTCAGATAAAGAAAAAATCTAATATATATGTAAGTATGCATACACCCAATATAATTAAATTATGCAGCTTTGTACTTACAAACTCTTGATTTTCTAATCTTTCATAACCAGTACTCCATATGTAGCAAAATCATGCACTAGATCAAAACATATAGCCATATAGGTAATCGACATATAAAAAACATACTATACCAGAAATTAGATCAGTCTCGTGAACAGGGTTTACTAATAACAAAAACATACTACACACAAATGAAATTTTCTTTTGCCGTTTGCGTTATACTAATAACAAGGGCGATTGCAATCGCAGTTAAGAGGACCAGCGTCTGCGGTTAGAGAAGGAACCATGTTTCCCGGAGCGACTGGGAATCGCTGAGCAGAAGTATACGGCAGCTCAATGCTGCCGTAGCCGGAAGGTACAAAGTAAGCTCCGTTCTTGAAAACGTCTTTTGAAGTTCTCCATCTCCAATTGTTCCACCCTGCTTTCACTTCTCTTTTGGTCACCTGTTTATTTAACATATGCTTAGCATTTTATTTCCATGATTTAAGCAATAGGTATAATATTAAATCTTAAAGATCTTAGGCATTAATCATTTATACATAACCAAAATCGGATGTACAAACAATTTGTCAGTCATGTGTAAACGTCCGATAGTAAGTTGCCGTCACTTTTTGGAATAATCAGTGGAAAAATTCGGTAGGAAGAATAATCGTAGTCAACTAATTATTCAATCCTAAGAAACCGATATATAAAAGAAACAAGTAAAAAGATAAAAAAAGGATAATTGGTTATTAATAGGTGTTTCAAGTGTTCAATCTATGTCTAGAATATAAAAATATAGAATGCCAATCGGTCCAACTCAAACTAATTCAAACTAGAGTATTTTCACTTGTATATGGCTATTGTTATTCAGAGCTAAAACTAGCCCAAGTTTTTTTCTTTTAATCAATTATAAATCAAAAGCTATAGTATCTTGGGTCCAAAGACTAAAACTGTCCAAAACACCTTGGGCTAAAGAGGCCTCATCATTGCTCTCTTGATTTGAAAAAAACATAACGTTTAGTAGTTTATAATTGAGTCGTTGTATATTGTCACATGAATTCAAATTCGCATAAGGCAAATTATTGAAGTACACAAATATTTCTCAACTTTTTTCTTTCTAGGTCGAATAGTATTGACACTCGTCGGGTATCGTTCCGAATGAAG